GAATCCAAGACTTCGACTTTGTGTCCTTGTCACTGTGTCTACGTCCGACCCTCAGTCGTGTCGAGTGAGTGAGTGTGTGTGTGTGCTCTCACTCTCTCCCTCTCTCTCTCCTCTCCCTCAGCCTCGCGCTTGTTACAACCGCACTCGCGACAACTTTGTTTGCAATAATTCGATAAGACATTCAAAAGCTTGAAGTTACATTGAGAAAATGACAAGCATATCAAGCACTTGAACGGGTTGCAAAGGAGGGTCAGCAAACTATTTTTCCCCCTTCAAAAAGGCCAAGTGCCCAAGGCTTGCACTACCAGTTACAACATTCCAATTTCGTGACTCAAAATCTGCACAACTCCGAGAGAGAGACATTGATTGCTTCCCTCACATTTTCTGAAAGCTCCAGTCTTTTCTCATGTACCGCAAGATTCATTCCCATTTTACACATTTGGTCGGGTCCAGTCACGGCCACCCGTTGGCGACCTCTGGTTCCTCTTGACCCTTTGCTTCCCGGTGGTCATGTGAAGTTGGCTGCCGATTTGCTCATCAGCCTTCTTCCACATTTCACTCGAGTCTTAGACATTGCTCTTCGTCCAGCATACGTAGTGAACCTGTATTGTATGATGAAGATGTGCCTTTTGCCACTCTTGCTGGTCACGAGGGTATCCATGAAATCCATGGAGGCACTCTGTCCCGGACCTGCAGGGATGGGCAAGGGCTTGAGTAACCCAAGCGGTGCTTGAGTACGCGGCTTGTCCCGCTGACAGACTTGGCCAGTCTATATGTACTTCTTTGCATCGTCAAGCGTACTAGCCCACCAAAATCGTTGTACTAAATTAGCACTAGTCTTCTTATATCCGAAGTGACATGTCACATCATGACACTCACCTAAAAATAAGCTGCGCAAAATCTCTCTAGACGAAACAGTCTTCTAAACCCTATCTTTTCAAGGAAGAGTAATCCATCCACCATTGCAAAGTCGTCAGATGTCGCTTTGTCTTTCAGATCTATGCGTATGTCAGTCCATTACATCGTCGGATAAGCGCACCTAGATAGTCTGCCCTACGTGACAACGCATCAGCAACCTAGTTGTACTCTCGCTCCATGTAATCTCGCTTGAAGTCATATTGATCTATAGCTTCAATCCAGTGTTTGAGTGCATTAKAAAGAACAGGCTGCATCTTAATCCACTTGAGGGTATGATGGTCAGTTCTCAGATAAAAAAACCTACTAAGCAAATAATGTTTCCTGTGGACAAGGGCGTTGTAGAGAGCGTAGAGTTCCCTTCCATAGGTGGACTCCCCAACTTCTTAGATGACATCTTACTCATGTACCTAATCAGCCTCAAATTCTTCACTTCCTATTGGGCCAGCACTGTGCCAATGCCWTATTGGCTTGCGTCAATGGTCACAACGAATGGCCTCTCCGGATCGGGTACCATAGGAATCTCATGATGTGTGAGGGCATACTTCAATCTTTTTAAAGCAGCCTCCCACGCGTCTGTCCATTCCCATGGTGTGTCAAGGCCTGTTAGATCGGTCAAGGGGAGGCCACCGTACTTTAATTCTTCACGAAATTTCGATAGTAGCCACACATCCCTAAGAATGATCCGACCTCCGTCACAGATTGGGGTCATGGCCAATCACAAATGTTAGCCACCTTCGCATCTTCGACCCTTATCCCTTCCACGGATATCTCATGACCCAAGTGCAAGATCTAGTGCGACCGAACCCGCATTTCTCTTAGGTGATCTTATACTTGTGTTGTCGTAAGRGTGAAAG